CTTTCTCTCCCTTCCTCTCTCTCTCTCTCTCTCTCTCTCTCTCTCTCTCTCTCTCTCTCTCTCTCTCTGTCTCTCTCTCTCTCTCTCTCTCTCTCTCTCTCTCTCTCTCTCTCTCTCTCTCTCTCTCTCTCTCTCTCCTCCTCCTCTCTCTCTCTCTCTCTCTCTCTCTCTCTTCTCTCTTCTCTCTCTCTCTCTCTCTCTCTTCTCTCTCTCTCTCCTCCCTCTCCCTCCTCCCTCCCTCCCTCTCCCTCCCTCCCTCCCTCCTCTCTCTCCTCCCTCTCTCTCTCTCTCCCTCCCCTCGCCCCCTTCCTCCCTCCTCTCGCCCCCTTCCTCCTCTCCTCCCTCCCTCTCTCTCTCCCTCCCTCGCCCCCTTCCTCCTCTCTCCTTCCCTCCCTCTCTCTCTCCCTCTCTCTCTCCCTCCCTCCCTCCCTCGCCCCTTCCTCCCTCCTCGACCTCCAACCATCCGTCTCTTCCTCCCTTCTTCCCCTCACACTCTCACTCACTCATTCGCTCTCTCATATCAGTTTTCCCCTTCTCTCTGCACGGAACCCACAGACTCCAAATTACCATTCCCAAGTTCGTCAAGGAACGCGATTTCTTACATGAGGTTTGCCCAAAGTTTTGTGCCTCGGGAGGTCGCACGAAGAAAGCTGAAAAGTGTAGGATTCCAGAGAAGTCCTTCGCTTTGCCAGAGATCGTGGGTAGGCAAGGATCAGCTGTCACACAGGAGGTTCTTGGAGTGAGCAATGTAAGCATTGTGCTCCTCAGATGTGTTGTGGCAAAGGGTGGTTGAAGACGCGAGTTGATTTAGGCTATGGTGTTTGTGGCAGGTAAATTGAGGGGATTGTGTATAGAGGGAGTTTTCAAAGATGCGCGTTTGTTTTTACTGTTTGTGGGGGAGAGGCAGGGGGTGTATTTGGATGTGTGGTAAGGGTTTTGTGTAGGTTTTCGCCGTGGTTCTTGTAGCTGGTAAAGAGGAGGTGAATATTTTTGGGCGTGTTGTGAAGGTTTTCAAGGCGCTCAGAGGTTCATGTTGTAGTTTCTATAGCAAGTGAAGGGAGGGGGTTGTTGTAGCTGTGTATTAAAGGGGTTCCGAAATCCCGGCTGTTTGAGTTGTGGTGTTTTTGTGAGATAAGGGGTGTTTGGATATGAATTAAGGGGTTTTGAAGATGTACGTGAGCTTACGATGTGAATACTGTAGCGGGGAAAAGGGGAGAGGAATTACTGGGAAAAGTTATAAAAGGTAGTCAGAGGAACGTCCGGGCGCATTAATAATCATTTGGGGGAATCTGGGACGGTGCCTGTGATGTATTAGGGGCGTACGAGCGTAAGCGAAAGAGGGCGTGGGAAAATTGAAATATAATGAAGGGTGCGCGTGTGTGAGAGCCATTTCTGACAGCAGTCCGCTTGGCCCGCGTGTGGCTCTTGTTTGTGACGTGCATGGAGCGTGTGGCCAACGCGTGCCTGTACTATCAGTGTAATGCATGTCTGTGTTAGTGTTAAAATCTGGTCATACAAGTTGTATGTATGTATGTGTGCATGTATGGTTTTTATATGCATTCATGCAGTATTGGTCATGTATGTGATTATTCTTGCAGAACACTGGTGTTGTAGCATATATGTTTGACGTATTTGTCATTTCATAAATTAATACATTTTGTGTGTTATATATATCTAAATTTTGGTACAGACACGTGCCTGAGTTTTGTCATTTGAAGGCAGGGTTTAGTGGTTTTATATATAGAACTGATGTTTTATATATGTAAAGTTCTAAGGGAAGGAAGGAAAACAGATGCTGAGATGCATCAGGACGCGAATATAAGCAACCGCAACCTTGCCTATGAATCCCAACTGCAACGGCAATTGTTTTATGCACGCAGGAAAAAATACAATCTTAGAAGACTTTACCATGAATTGCAATGATGTTGCGCACGAAGTGTGACGAAGGTGAGCGCACTTGGTCAGAAAGAATGCAACGATTCACAAAGTCATGGGCGTAAATTATGGACAAGAAATGAACTAGGAAGACTTTGCTGTCCAGTCGAAAGAGTTTTTAATGCTGTTTGATGATAATTACTGTAGATGCGGACAGTGTACGCACAGCTCGTTCTGGTCTGGCGGCTCGCATGAAAGACAACCCTGCTACAAGGCTGCTGCTTCGTCAATATGCGGGTGTGTGTCGTCACGGTGTAGGTGTAACACTTTAAGTGTGTATGTTTTCGCAACTTGACTGATATTGAATAACTCTGAAATGAAAAATGTATAAATACTTACCTTAGATTTTCGATCAGCACTGAAACTTGTTTGGTTTAATTTTGAAATGGAGTGTTGTCGTATCTGGCTATGTTTAAATCACCACTGACCAATCATCAAACACTATTAAATATTTTGTATACATATATTTTCTTCCTTAATATATATCGTCGAGAGGCTGCACCACAGAAGCGGCAACCACACACTGGCGCCTGCGCGTCAGAACTGCGAGAGAGTCAATAGGGCA